AAATTACATTATATACCTTTTACATCATATTCTTTTTTACCTCATTACAAGACTAGATGCTTTACCACAAAAAGCTAAGAGTTCTATAAAGCATGACTAATAACCCTAACAACCACCACACACATAAAAAAGCACTATTATTATAGATATCTTCCTTCTGTCCTTCCTCTTAAATCAAACTTATATAAAACCGTATTGCTTGTCATGTACTAAGTGCTCAATACTTTTTTGTAGACCAAGTTCTCAGTTTTGGGCAAACCCCTGTGGAGTGAGAGAACAGGAAACCTGGCTGTCAATGGGGTGACAGATGCTGGGGCCAAATCACCCTGACAACTCCTCTCAATAATAAATCTGAGAAGCTAATCTCTGCTAAATTGTTAATGGCTGCTAATGAGATACTCACTTCCCCTTTTTGATAGCATATTTACATATAAATGAGGCCCTTCTGGAAGGATTCCCTTAAACCCAAAGGAGTGGCTCTAAATGCTGACAGGGCTTCTGGCTCTAGTTTCACATTGTCCCTTGCTGAGATTCATACCAGTAGGCTGTTTGAACTGTCATTTGAGAACATCAGAAAGGAAGCATTGCATACCTCAAAGTCAAGAGTCAAGATCGGAAGTTTGTTTGTTTATATTGTTTTAAATTATGCAACGAAAAGTACTAAAGAGAAAAAAATTATTTTCCACTCTACTCATTAAATTATCTGGCATATTGGTGAGTATTAAGTTCAAAAGAAGACAGTTCTAACCCTAAATGCCGATGTAAAATACTTTCCATTTGTATTTCCTTTTCTTTCCAGTGTCCCTATGCCTCATCATGCTACAGTATGTGAAAGTTAAATCCTGCCGTTTTATGTCTAATTTTTTCTTTTCCCCAGCACCATCAACACACTGATTCCCCTACCAAAACCAAAAGTATCTGGCAAAAATACTTTGAGAGAAGAGTCTATCTATCGTGAGTCCAGTGACTTTCAGACAATGGACACTATACCAAGGACAACAGAAAACACGCTCTGGGTCTGTTCCAAGTCACCACACTTAGATGCCCACTGCCTCAGAAAAAATGAAGAAAAAATCTAAACATTTTTCACTCTTTGAGAAAACGTATGCAGTGACCATTGTTCTCCTCATGTTAAGATAGAGACAAAAGTCAGGCTGTGTGTGTAAGAATTCAAGGTCAAGATTGTTCAGCTACAAAATCTCTAGCCTCCAGATTCATGTCAGTCTCCTGGTTCCTTTTACCTTCTAATCCTTCACCTCAATATGAATTGCTAAGGCTGAGCATTTTCTCTTTTCCAAAGTATCTACACCTTTAGAGATGGAAGACTACCCAAAAGGGCAAGAATTTTTTTTTTTTTATAGATCTGGGATTTGTTCAGAGCTTTGCATTTGCAAAGCAGGCACTCTACTACTTGAACCATGCCTTCAGTCTATTTTACTGGTTATTTTGGAGACAGAATCTAGGGAAGTATTTGCCCAGGCTGGCCTCAGACCACAATCCTCCAGGATTTGAGGTGTGAGCTACCAGTGCCCAGAACAAGAGTAATATTTGTTGATTGTGAGTACCTGTTAAAGATTGTACCAGGGTAATTTCACATCATTTAATCATTGTATCTTCATGACAATCCTATATTTTAATCTTTTTATTCATTTACTTTTGCCATGGACCCCTTAACAATCTAGAGCAGCTTATGTAATTCATAGAAAAACAATGCATGCAAGTACATAAAATATAGCATATAGAATTGCAAAGAAAATTACAAAGTAATCAAAGTATTTAAGAAATAAATTCATGTCATTTCTATGTATGGACATTTAAACTCACCAAATAAGATATAAAAGTGGTTCTATTAACTAATTAACTAAAACATTTAAAAAGTGTGACATTAAAGGAATGTCACACTTAATAATTCTGATGGTGCCATACCCATACACTGGAATTAAACAATTGAGTAAATAACTTATGAGTGGTAGGAGCCATGTTTCTCACTATTGGAGCTATAATTTATAGATAAGCAAATGGAGGAGGCTAGAAAGATCTTTGTGATAATGGATTAAAGTTGGAGGCATCCATATGCATTCATATTTAATTTATAGATATTTAGATACAGATGATTCCATGTAGAAATATTTGTAGATGCCTGTATGGACATTGCTTTCTTCCATGAAAAGATCTAAACAAAACAGCACCCTATCAGCAATGAACACATATGGAGCCCAGATCTTGCCTGTAGTATCATTCTCTATGAAATGACACAAGGACTCCTTGAAGAAATGGCTAATTATAGTTCTGGGCAAGAAATACACATGGAATATCCTGCAATACCAGTGATTTTTTTTTGTGCACATGCACAAACACACACACACACACACACACACACACACACACACACGTCAAGGAGTACAGTTAGCAACTCAAAAGAATTCCTCATGGCCAAAACTGGAATAATTTTAACAACAAAATATTAAATTATTAAAGTATAAAATGAATATCCATGAGTCTATACTGATATAAATAAGTAAATGAATAAATAGGTGAGAACAGGCAAACCTGTTATGCACAGAAATTCCAAATACTTTATGCACACACTTTATCGTCAAAGAAATTGAACACAACTCTCTACTCCTTAGATTTAGGCTTTACATAGTGACTTGCTTCCAACATGTACAGTAAGGATAGGCAGTAACTTTACAATGAGAAACCTGGCAAACACTGGTTAACATCAACAGTCATAAAATCACATTGATGGTATATAATCTTATTATAATGTGATGAAAAGAGCACTTTACCTCTGTGGTCATCTTCTCAATAACCCATAACCCCAGTCATATCACAGGAAAAACATGAGACAAATTGCAATATTGTAGCATCCTACAAAATACTTGACTGCTACTCCTCAAACTGTCAATGTCATGATAGGGGAGAGAGAGAGAGAAAGAGAGAGAGCAAGAGAGAGAGGGAGGGAGGGGGAGGAAGGGAGAGAGAGAGGGAGAGGGAGAGAGTGAGGGAGAGAGAGAGAGGGAGAGAGAGAGAGAGAGAGAGAGAGAGAGAGAGAAAAGGGAAAAAAAAAAAACTCTGAAAACTGCCATAGCCAAAAGGAACCTAAAGGGACATGACAAATGTAGGTGGTATTCTGGATAGGAGCATGGAACAGAACTGGAGGTACTAGGTAAAAACCTGAGAAATCTGAATTAAGTATAGTGATAATGTACCAATAGTAGTTCATTAATTGTAACAAAGTTACCATAATAATATAAGATAATAATGAAAAGGAAATTGGTTACATGATATATGGGGATTCTCTGTATATTTCCTCAATTTTTCCACACATCAAAACCATTCTGAAAATACAGTTTATTAAATAAAAATTTGAAAAGTAGTGATTATCTGACCATAACATCAGAGTAGTGATATTTTGAGAGTTCTAAAAACTGCAGTAGGGAATTATCTATGACTTATAATGGTGACAAAGTCACAGTTACACTTAATCTTATTATGGTTGTTGGCTACATTTATATTTAAAGATTATGTACAATTCTAATTTACAGAGATTAGAGAAACTAGAGATGTAATTTTCCCCATCCATATTTTGCAGTCTCAAATTATATTCATATATTCCTTTGCTACAGGTTAGGAATCCCCCACTCTAAGACAATATTAATGTCTTAATTTTATTAAAATGAATAAGTTCTCCCAACTTTCAAACAGCGTACATTCTAAGGCCTGAGTTTTGTTGGATCTGTGTTACTACCTTTTAGTTTCGGGAATGATAAACAGAAGAAAGAGAAAATTTCATTAAATAAAGGTTCTTTCCTGACCTCATGCAGTTCTACTCTGTAGATTGCTGGACAAATTCTCAGGGTAAAGCTGTCCTGGACCTAGAGATGGATGATTCCAAGACCAAGACAAAGTTAAATGAAGAAACTCCACCCCCACAGGGTCAATGAAAATCCCTGCTTGGAAATGATTCAATAGGGGAAGAAACCCCGGCTCAGCTGCAAAGAGAACAAATCTTAAGGCTTTTTCCCCATGAAACATTCAACTCTCAGACTGTTGATGTAGTCAGTAATTTGGGAAAAAAGTTGAAGTGGGCGGGAGTAGAGAGAATAAGGGAACAACCTTGTTAATATAGCTGGTGTCAATTTAAAGTGAGAAGGAAGGGGATTACATGCATATATGCTTATTTCATTGCTAAGGAAAATTCTGGTAAGTCCTTTGGGAAAGAAAGTTTCTGCTATCTGTAAATGTGAATTCTGCCTCTTGGTTTCTAAATGTTATAGCTTTCATCAGAGAAGTCTGCCCAGATAGGTGGGTGGGTTGCTGTGGAGAAGAGAGAGAGGGGGGTGTTAGAGATAACATCTGTCCACTAGTGTGCCACTAAACAGCAACAAAAACCGGGGTGACCCTTCTCTGTTTTCTAGGGTACTTTCTCTGACAGTCCCCGGGCCCTATGGGACATTCCCATTTTGTTACGTAGCCAAGGGCTAGAGGTCCCAGCTTTCATAATTGTGAGTGGTGTGTGTGTGTGTGTGTGTGTGTGTGTGTGTGTTTATGTGTGTGTGAAGTGTGCTGAGAGGGTTCGAAGAACTGATTGCCAATTTAAAATATTTTCGGATGTTTATCTCAAACAGCAATCCTAGCTCTCAAATTCAGCAAAATGAACAATACTGATAAAGAAGATGAAGAGGGTGGGAAACCCACACAGTCAAATGGAGCTGTCCAAGCAGCCAGAGTGACAGGGGAGCACTTGGAGGAAGAACGCTCTGCAGAGAAAGTCTCTCTGACTCTTCTCTTTGGGTTCACAACCCAGCGATGCTGCTTCTATTCAAGCATTAATAGGAAATAAACCTACAGCCCCGAGGGGCAGCGTTGGTCAGGAGCAGTTTGCAGGTGCCCTTGCTGGCGGCCGGGAGAGGTGGCGCTCCCCCCGCGGCTCGCGCGGAATGCGGTGATCCGGCGGGGGATGACTTCATGCGGCCGGAGCTCGGCGGCGGGAGCGGCAGCTGCAGCTGGCAGGTGGGGCCGGGGCCCGCGCGATCCGACCACGCACACGGCCCGGCGGGCGCGGCGGGGCTGCAGCGGGGGCAGCGGGCGCCCGGGACGCGCCGGGACTCGATCCGGGCAAGGTAAGCAGCCTGGCTTTTCTTAGCGTTGACCAGCCACTCAGCGCGGTGCTTTTCCGCTTGGGTAATAATGGGGTTTCAGTGCTGTGGGAAGAAGGGGGATAACCATGCTGCATTCTGCACTGAGAAAAGGAGCAACAGCTGGGATTGAAATGTTGATCAGCCAAGTGCTGCGGATTGGAGGAACATTGTTACTGGGCGAACAAAGGCGGCTTTCAGCTCTGTACTCTTCAAGATGATAACCGTTCCAATGCCAGATTTGCTTAGCCACTGAAGAGGATTCACAATGTAAAATAATTTGAGTGCCTCTTTTACCTTTCTACCTTCATGTTCGTTTGATTTCCTGGGTTTGGAGCAGCAGGTCATTGGCAGCAGCCTAGGGAAATAATCAGAAATGTTGGCACTCTTTATCTCTTCTTGGGCCCTCTCTCTGCCTATTACCAGGCAGGGTCAGCCCTGATCTCAATGTCACAACACCTGCTTCAATACTGAGCCTTTAGAGTCTCTAGGTGGGGGAGAAACTTACCTCCTGAAGTTCAGCCTGGTTTGTGCAGCTCTTGACATCACTTCTCTGTTCATTTACCATCCTCTCTGTCAATCATTTCATTAATCTTTTTCTGAGATTCTGTGCCCATTCACAGGCCAACTCTTGTCAGTTCTTATCTTCCCATCAGTGCCATGTTTGACTTTGTCAAGGACCCAGAAAGGACAATGCCTCATATAGGGTTTCCTATGGGGTATTATCTCTATGTACCATTTTCTGTGTCCTCCCCCGACTCCAAATGCTTAGAAAGAAGTGTACTGCCTAATACCAAAATGGTTTTCCATAACTCCATTTCTTGTAGTCACTCTGGTTGGGTACCAGAGGCTTGAGAGGACAAACAGAATATACTGGGGTGTGGGGGCTGTTCCCTAGGCATAGACCTAAGTGAAAGTGAAAATGTGAATGCTATTGAAACATTTTTAGTCCAGCTGGATTGTGAGACAAGAAGCTGTTCGAGTTTAAGGGCAAATCTTTCCCCTAAATCAAGTAGTGTATTTGCCCTAGGATTCCTTGGTAACCTCAAAGAATTTTCAAAGAGCCTTTACCCATTGGCACTCAGAAAGCCAAGGGAGCTACCCAATCTCCTCACGTTTCTCTCCCCATTTGCAGGTTCCTCCCACTTGTACTAGAATTTCTTCTCAAGACCCCTGGGTACTGGGCTCAAGCCCTTATTCTTATTCCACTTAGGGATGCACATTTGAGTAATATGCTGTGGAATGGTTAAGATGGCTGTTATGGGAGTTGCAAATGTGCCACTTCACCAACAGAGAACAGTTGCAATAAGCCAGATTGTGGAGTGTCTGTGTGCCAATATTCAACTTAAAAGGAGATATGTTATCTTTAAACTTGAAATTAGAGAGTCAGTCTGACTCAACAGCCATGTAGTTTTATTTTAGTAAATTAAAATAGATCAATGAAAAAGAGGGGCAGAGTTTATAGCTAAAATTGTACCTCTATTTGTGTTGCTTTTTCAATATCGCTTTTTAGACAAAGACTGGCTCTGAAAGTCGTGCTAATTCTATTATGCGTTACTATTGCTTTTTTAATTATAAATTCTCTTCCAATGAAATACTTTTAAGAAAAATTTGAATTTGTTTCTTTGTCTCCACCTTCAGTATATGGGCTTCGGGAGCATAGGGTGCCTACTACAAAGTGGTCCTCTCCAGGAGCTGTTCCCTGGGATCTTAAAGAACTCAGGGCTATTTTTTGTTTGTTTGTTGTTGTCATTACGCATTGAGTATGGTTTGGGTTTGAAAGATTATATTTTTGACATTCTAGAATTTTGACCCAGGCACACCAACTAGAAGCAGTAACAAAGAACAAGATAAAAACCAAAACCCGATGTCCTGTCACCTTTTCTAAAAACACTTAGACAAATAAATCATTGTTCAGAAGACTAATTCATGATAAATATTAAGAGAATAATTATTTTAGTAAATTAGCTCAAAGTATACTAAAAACAAATTATACACTTGATCTTAGAAGTACAATTAAATTGTCTGTAGTGTTATCATCTCTTGGTGGAGAGCAGTGCCTGAGAATATTCTAATGAAATTAGATATTGGAAGTGTCTATTATGTGACTTCTGGAGAAACGCAATTGTTTGGCAAGAAATAAGATCAAGATCAAGGAATAGGATCAAGATCAAGGAACTGAGCTAGTATAATACTTGCCAATGTTTTTAATCCACCAAGTTATGGTTTGGAGTTGGAGAAACCTTGTTGGAAAGAAAGAAAAGAGTTAGAAAAATAAATTTTCATTTTGGTGCAACAGAAGATAATTAAATTAAAGGCTTCCTGAATTTGAACCTTGTTGTGTTTAAAAAACTTTGAGGAATGTTTCTAAATTCAACGCAGAAATATATGTATGATTTTGTGATTGGAAGATATGACTATATTTCCTTATCTCCAAACATTTCTCAGAGAAAGGAAAAATTAATTGGCTGGTGTATAGAAAGGAAGGAGGATGAAAAATGGGATGGTGTGCCTGAATAGATGCTAAATGAACTGCAGACATTTTGGTAGGTTTGACAAGATAGAATCAAAGTCAATCTACTGCTTTCCAATCACATTAAAAAAAAAATTAGCCTGGCAGGCAGTGTTATCAGGAGCTCAGAAAGTACAAATTTAGGGGCCACAGTTGTTCTTTCATAACAAAGGAACATTTTCTGGTGTTACATTACCCTTAGTAGCTACAATTGAAGTAGCCTTATCTTGAGTCTTTGAAAAATGGCGAAGAAAAAAAAAGGTAGAAATAATATGACTGAAGAAAAAATGTCATTCTACTTAATCAGTGCTTCCATTGAGAATGGGTAGATAAAAGTGCTATTTTGAAGGTTACCAGTGAACTCTCAATTGACAGATTTCTGTGGATTTCATTCTGTTCAGTGTTACTGATATGTAATATGTACCAGACACTGTGATACCTCTTGTTCCAGTTTCTCACTAATCCTCTTAAAGTACCCCATGTCCAGCCTAAACCATGTGCTTTTTATTTCCAATGTGTGCCTCATGATGTCATGCCTGTGTGTCTTCATTTGTTCTTTTAGTCCATCCTGCTAGGCACTAACTCTTCCATGAAGCCTTCCCAGTACCTGCCTTCCTTTTCCAGTCAGATATGATTTCTTCTCCCTTGTCTAGATTCCTATAGCTCTTTTCTATTTTGGTTTAGCCTTTCATCTGAACATTCTTTGGCTTCTCATCTAATGTAGCCCTAGGTAACAAACAGATCAGGAATGAAAGCTTTTTATTATTTGCAATTTATACTAGAGTGCTTAGGTATGGATATGCATGGTGGGTGCTCAGCAATTTGATTTTAATGAAGAAATGAATATTCTATAGAAGTCTAATCTATCTGTCTACCTTTTTCCACCAAGTTCTCAGTATTTGTGGAATTAATAATTTAGTTTTTTTAAAATAAAACTTATATAATGGTAAATATAGTGAAAATATATTCTTTAACAATATTCAACAAAAGTTATTATGAGAACACATGCCCTTAAATGAATTAGCTCCTATATATTACAATCATGGTAAACATAACAAAATAACACTTTAAGGAAAAACAGTTTGGTGGTGCACACCTTGTAATATCAGCACTTGGGAAGCTTAAATAGGAGGATTGAGTGTTCAAGGCCTGCCTGGGATACCTGGTGAGGCTGTCTAAAAAAAACTAAAAATGAAACAAACAAGCAAAAAACTTTCAGGAAGACATTGGATCTGGTTTCGGTGCACTTGCATTCTGAGCAGGAGAAGGTGCCTGCATACATAAGCACTTACCTTGCTTGAAAGCAAGTGATCTATATCCTATTTCGTGTTTCCGCTATACACTGAGAAAAAATGAGGCTCAGAGATGTCACCGAAATGGCACATATTCTTTGTGCATTATCATGCTCCTCTTTGAAATGTAACACAATGAAGGAAAACATTTTATAACATAAGGTCAGAGCCATCAGCATAGTTTAAAATTGTTTTATGAGTCATCTCTCTAGTTCTCCTTAAACTTTAGGGTGTTAACACCCCTTTGATAATTCAATGTCAGCCACACATCCTCTCCTCCAGTAAATACATGCATACACAGTGTATGTGCAGGCACACACTTAACCACACACATACCCGCATTTGATTTTGCATATTGCAGCTGTTTATGCAATTAGGGTTCTCTAAAACCCTCAGTTAAATACTGTCTACTTCAAGCTCTCTGACAATGTATGGGTCTGTTTTTGGCTGTGAAGTTGTTCTATTGTTCTTTCTGCTTTAGGACCTGAAATGAAAACCCTTCACTAGCACTGGCTTTGACAGCTGAGCTGACTAGGAAGCAAGTGCCAGAAAGAAGTGATTCAGAGAATCTTCATTCATGGAAAAGGCATCCTAGAAGAAGCTCTGAACATTACACATTCCAAATGATTTATTTAGGGTTTTCCAATCAAAACCACTTTTACAAAAAAGAGACAGTTCTCTGACTTACAGTACTATACTGCCAAACATGTAAAACATTGCCAGCAGTTGTCTGGTGTAGTCTCCTTTGAAATACATTCATTTTGCTTCAGATGGATTTATATCTGCCTCGGTTACTATTTATTCCTGGTAATGCTGTCTATAGAAATAAATTAGCTTTTTTCCAAGTTAAGTTTATCTTTGGGTTCTAAAACAACTGCCAGCCCAAAGGGCTCCACATCATCTAGATAAATAAAAATGCATTAAAATTCCTAGCTGACACTTAAAGGGGCTAGAATCAGCTAGCATGGTTCCTGCTGATAGTAACATTCAAAAAGATGTGACAAGAATGTCACTAATCTAGAAAAAAACCCAGATGGAGAGATATAAATCTCAAGATAACAAAGTAAGCTGTCTCTTTCTTTACATTTCCCCAAAATACCTTTTTTGTAACAAAAATATAATATTAATTGCGTAAGCTCCTAAAATAAATGATAACCTATGGAAACTTCAAAATAAGCACAATTTGATGCTTATAATATTAATTATTAAAAATTGCCTTTGGGCTGGTGGAGTGGTTCAAGTGGTAGAACGCCTGCCTACCAAGCCTGAGGCCCTGAGATCAAACCCCAGTACTACTAAAATGAAAAAATTGCCCTTTTTGTATGAAAAAATATATGTCCAATATGAGGTAAATTTGTTCCATATATTATTAGATTTTATAATTTAGGCTGTTTATTGTGCCAAAACATATACGTATTTTAATGTGTATATTATATAAAGTAGGTTTCATGTCTATTAAAATCAATATATTTTATATATTAAATTTATTTTAAAATTAAAATTTATATTAAATTTAAGATTGATATGTTATGCATGAAATGTACCATTTTAACAATTTTAAGTATATAATTCACTAGTGTTCAGTGCATTCACAATGTTCTGCAAACATCACACTATCCATTTTCAGAACTTTCTCATCATCCTAGTAAATCATAACACATCATTCTCTGTGTCCCTCAGCACCTATTAAACTCTGTTCTACCTTTTGTGCTTATGAATTTGACAATTTTAGGTATCACCTAAGAATGGAGTTATGCAATATTTGTCTTATTTTGTCTGGCTTCTTACACTTAGCATAATGTTTTCAAAGTTGATCCATATTATATCAGAAGCTGAATACTATTTCATTCTATGTATGTACCAAATTTTATAAATTTTAGTTGCAATGTACTTTCGGTACATTATTGCTTTATTACATTAAATATATCTAACCTACAACCCTATTTATTATCTTACTAGTCACCTAATAATATATATTATGAATATGCATAATCAATCAAGACCCCTTGATAAATATTAAGTTCAAAGTTGTTTTGTGATTTCACACTATGTGTTGATGAACATAGTGGTATGTATTCCTTTATATGTTGATGCTTTTTACTTTCGATGGACAGATGCCCAGAGTGGTGTAGAGTGGTTTTATTGTGTCATAGACTATGCCCAAATATGTGTATGTGAATATGTACATTAATTATAAAAATCATAGCTTTCTTCAACAGATAGCATTTCTATATGTTGTGAAACTCTTTTAAATGCTCTTCAAAGTGAATAAAACTAATCAAAGGGAATCCAATCCATTTAGCATAAGCCATTGGATATAAGGGAATCTATTTAACATAACAGGGAAATAGTCTCAATTTTTGCCATTTCCAGTTCATGAAGAAAAACATACGAGTATTGAAAGATTTTCAATCTCAATCACATATTCATTACTTCAAAATATGCAGAGTGCATCACAGATGTTAGTCAGGTCTTGTAACACAATGCAGAAAAGAAGAAAAATTTATGGCCAGTTTTCTTTGTTTTAAGCTTCAGCAGTGGGTCATTTTATCTAGACTTATCTAAAATTTGATCTATTTTTAATTCAGATTTATGTACCAGCATTATAATGAATCTTTTATTATTTTTTCTTAGTTTCTCCTTAGTGTGTCTTTAAAAATTTATCTTGAAACAGAATAACTAAAGCCCAATGATTGAGAATGTCTTATTTAAGCTGAACAGCAAAGTAGTTGGAACATATGAAGTATAAACAGATTTAGCTATATTTAACTATTCTCTTCATAGGCTTGTCTACATTGCAGGAAAGGAGAAACAGAATGCTTGCTGGAGATTGCATCAGTTTTATTTGAAGTAGACACTGATATGCTTAAAGGGTAAGAATGAAGCAACAAATCTTATAGCATATATTTAAAAAGAACTTAAAATTAAAGGATTGCAAAAATATTTATGTAGACATAAACACATTTCACAATGGAGTTGACTGTAGACATGTCACAATAGTATTTTAACTTAATGCTTTTTTTTTTGGTTGATAAGCTGGAGAAATTTATTGATTAACATTTCTCCTATTATTTACCCTTGTATTTATTGCTATTTGGTGCACCTCTTTGAAAAGCAAACCTAAATAAGTATTCTGATCTTGCCTGAATAAGCAACCACATGGCTACACATTAAACAATGCATGTTAGTGGTGATGAGATCAAAGGTACAAGCATTAGTTTTCTTGGTGTTGCAATAATAGCTGAATTCCTTCTAGTGTACAGTGCAGAATCTGACTGAATAAACAGAAAAGTCAAGTAGTATCTTTAAAGCTGTTTCTTACACTTTTACCCATGATTTCTCATTCAGATTTTCTGATAATTGAAATATACTAGAAAACAGTCAGATTTCTACGCTTCTATCCATTTACAAAACAGAATCCTGCTAGGACTTGCAGAAATACCACTGAATGTGAGTAGGTGTGTGTCTGATGGAGTCACTGAGAGTAACTTTTCCTACTCATCCAAATCCAAGTTCAGATTTAAAGACAAGGAAATTTTAAAGAGTAAGTGATAACAAAATTTTAGAAAAGGAAGATCACTTGTATGGGTTTCTAATTATAATGTATGCTCACTGGAGAATAACACATTTTCAGGAAGGATTTATTTTGAAAAGGCTATGTTAGCACTACCTCAAAAATAAATTTCGACAAGTCATTGTCATCCAAGTTAATCTCTTGTTTGGCTTTCAAGAAGGTGAGAATTATTGCAGGAACTGCCTTTATCAAATTTCCTCTTTCTAGCTGAGATAGACCTTGGAGCTGACATTCTTAACTTTTTAATCATATAGTCATATTAATTAGAATTACCTAATAATCAGTATAGAAGGTGTTTGTTTGTTTGTTTGTGGTGCCAGGCTTTGAACTTAGGGACTCAGATTTGCTAGAAAGGCACTCTACAACTTGAACCCCTCCTCCAGCCCCTTTTGGCTTTTTATATTTCAAATAGGGTCTCATACTCTTTGAGCAGGCCAGTGTCTTATTTATGCCTAACATAGCTGGGATGACAGACGCTTGCCACCATGCCTGGCTTATTTGTTGAGATAGAGGTCTCTCTACCTTTTTTGCTCTAGCCAGCCTCAAACTGAAATCCTCTTGGTATCTGCCTCCTGAGTAGCTGGAATCCCAGACATGAGCCACTGACCCCAGTCAAAAAAGGTTTATAATAAATAAAAATGTACCTATTAAGAATCTCTGTTGATAAAAGTTAGACAAAACATAATTGGTGATCCTGTAGAAAAGAAACCAAAATGACATTTCTTTCATCTTCTGCAGCTTAGACAGCAATACGATTGCAAAGCAAGGCATGAAACAGTACCATTTGATGTATTTTTTAAATGTTAAGATTTCTAGGAAGCTTATCAGTATCACATATTATGGTAAGCAGTCAATAAATCTAAGCTATTATTAGTTTTAATAGTAAAATATCAAGAGCATAAAGATTTCTACAACTCAAATGGTCATTATCGTAACTGGCTTTAGTACTAACATTAAAAAATGTTTGTTGAACTGAACAAATAAATACCGTTAATCTTGAAAGTGTCCCTTTAGATTCAAAACAGCTGGTATTCAACACAAGTTCATCATAATCAATTTTGTAGGTGAGGGAATTATAGATGGGACGACTACCTTCTCCTTTTCATCTTTTCAAGCCTACTCTCTTCCCTCTGAGAAGTTAGAGATGAGGCGGATTAAATTTGAGATATATGTAGTGGGCAGTTCAAAATAATCAATCAAGCACAGGAAACCCAGGACAGGAAAACAACTCATTTCTTCAAACTATAACAAATTCAAGATGAAAATACATATTTGCATAATAAAATACTAGAAGTTCTTTTATTTCTATGTATTTTTCAATCTCATTTATTGTGAAGAGCACAATCATCAAAAGTTAAATCTCAATCAACTGAAAATTTGTTCCACTGCATACAGATTCAAGTTGGTGGACCAGTATCATCTTTCTGGGGCATTGTGAAGTTATTTTTCACAACAGATCTTAAATCTGACACTAAATCTGATATTAAACTAGTCCATTGAATAAAGCAATGAAAGTTTCTTTCTTGGTTATCTTAGAAATAAAAATTACTAACCTGTTTACACAAAATACTGAATGCTTAAATTCTCTTTTCTGATAAATAAACTGGAAAATGAAATAAAAGGGCATTACAGCATTAATGGAAGAAAACAATTGGGTTGGTTTCAGCATGTTTGACTCTAAAATTAATTTTTAAGATCAAATTGATGATAATTGTATTCTTAGAATTCTTAGGCACCCTTTGCTTTATTTTCAAAATCAGTCAAAAGGCTCTAAACATTATCTAGATATTCCACAGGGATTGCTGGGCCTTCTTCCTTTTTTCTGATTTTTTTTTTTAAATTTTCAGGGGTTTTAGGTATCACTTATGTCCAAACTTTGTCTTTCAGGAAATTAATTTGAGCTTTGAATCCATTTAACTAGGTGACTTATAAGCTACTTCACCTCCGTGAGTTGTTTCCTAACATTTGAAACAGGCTGGTTGTGACAATTAAAGAAGATAACATCATAAGCTGGGTGGGGTTGCACATGCCTATCCTAGCCAGGTCCTGTCTCAAAAAAGGAAAAAAAAAAAAAAGTAAACGAGAATTTACTGTAATTTCTGAAAAATACATAGTAAGAGTAAGTAAATGTTTTTCATTTTTACCCTCATGGGAAATTTATAACCAGGCCTCATTACCACATCTATTTCCAAGTGCTTATGAACTTGCCCCTCTCTCTCCTCATGTTAGCTAAACTAAGCTTTGAAATGACTCTGAATCTCACTGGATGATGTTTCAAGGCTGATAATGCCAGTGTCAGGAGAGGCGGAGGTCAGCTCAAGGCAAGGTGATCAGACTCCGCCCCTGGAGCAGCTGTGAGAATGAGACTTAGCTTCTATTTTTGACTTTTCAAGTGGCCATTAGATACCTGAGTAAAGTCATTCATCTAGTGAATCTGCGTCTTATTTTCTTTCTGAATCATACCATATGTCTACTCACTCTTCTCACTGACTCATTATCAGAAATGATGTGGAAAAAAAAATGGGGTGGGGGTGATTTCAGAAGCAAAGAGCCATGTAAGACCGGAATGCCCCTTCCTGAAGAACAGCTGGCATTCTCTTCTCTCAGTTACAATGTTGAGGTTCCTGGGAGAAGACAACTTAGTTTATAGAAGACTATTAATAGTCACCTCTTCCTTTAGGAAGAAAGCCTTAAAAAATCTTGCTAATTGCTGGATAATACTGAAACAGTTTTTTAAAATGTGTAATCCTTGGTAAAATTTTATATTGCTAATCAAAATAGTTAAAATTGTCCAAAAAGGAAAATTAACCTGTAACTCTATTCCACATCATATAGAAAGAACACTTTAAGGTCTGCGATGTATTTCTATTTTTTGAAGCCCCTAACATCTAGAAACTATGCAATCATTAATACTTTGGGCATAGTTCATTACTGATTAGATTTGATTAATAGATGTACCCTTAAACTGGAAAAAAATTAGAGCGTCACTTAATGTGAAAAAGTTAGTATAGAAAGCCACTCCTATTAAAGCTTCATGTTTAGTACACACAGAATCTTTTATATGATGACTATTTGGGGAGGGCTTGAAAAGCACATAATTTTATTTTCTTATATAAATTTCTATTATTGATATGGGTATATGAACATAAGGAAACAAGTAAAAAAACTGCCTCAAACCTAAAGTTTAATATGTCAATCACAGTTGTTCATAAGTGAAAATTTTGTGGTGATAGACTCCAGCCAAATTTGCAATCATTTACTGTAATTGGTGGTCTCTTCATGTTTTCTCTGAATAGAATAACTTTAGTCGTTCAAGTAAAAAGCATAAATCGCTAGCATAAGTAAGTTTTTCCTAATTTCCAAGCCAGTATTGTTAGCACAGTGAATTCATTAGCTATTTATTGAAGACTTGAGGAGTAGATTTTGGGCACAGGCTTATTCTAAAATGAGATGTTGTAAAGAATGAAAATACCTGTTTTAAATATATAGGTACATAAACATATATTTGCTAGAAGTGAATGCATTTTATGTTATAAACTAATTTATTTAATCATTTATGTGTATGAATACATATATGTACATATACATATGTATGCATGATTATTTTCTATTTCAAATGATTTCTTCTGAGTTGGATTTCATTTAAAATTAAATGAACAAGGGCTTAGACAAATATTTGAAAAATATGTGTTTTAGATTTTACAAAGAAAACTTTTTCAATAGCAGTTTATTTTTCAGACTTACAAGAATATTTTAAAATTTTTGCAATAATTCTTTAATGTATGAATGTGAATGTATATTGGTATATTTCATATAACTATATATGTACCATATTAAATTTTAAGTATATATATATAATATATATTTATTTAAATGTTTCTAGACTATATTTTACTTGGTTATAACTGTTGTTCAGTTATGTGAGAATAGTGATTTAACCAGGGGTCTTTCAGCTTGAAAAGTGCTTCTTTCATTTGAATAGTTTTCATCCAGTAAGTTTTCACTCTCCCATCAGATTTTCTGCTTTGAGTAATACATTGTCCAATTTGTAAGAAATTCTCTTGTATATTTGTGATTCATGTCATAATTTTCCAGTGTCTCTCAAAATCCTAATTTAGAAGGTTCTCATTTGAATCAAATATTCTGGAATCTTGTCCATTATGAGTCAGTGAGTCTGTTAGGCATCCCTCCTTTTTTACACTGGAGAAGATGTAGAGAAAGGGAGGAAGAAAACTGCACAGTGGGACATTCCAGTTCTTTTCCTACTGTTAAACACATAGTAAAACTAGAAACTTGTGA